AAAAAAAAAAAAAAAAAAAAAAAAAAAAATAAAAAAGATAAATAAAAATAAATAAATAAAATAAATAAATATATTTATTTATATATATATATATATATATATTTATTTATTTATATATATATATTTATTGATTTATGTATAGGTTATTGCCAAGGAATGGGTTTTGTATGTGGTGTATTATTACTACATTTAGAGGAAGAAGAATCTTTTTTATGTTTTTCTTGTTTATTAAGAAAATATAATTATGAATATTTATATTTACCTGGTCTTCCTTTATTAAATAAATACTTTTTCTTCTTTCAACATATATTTCAAATACATTTACCCACGTAAATTATCTTCCTCTTGCTGCTGCTGCTGCTGTTGCTGTTGCTGCTGCTGCTGCTGCTGCTGCTGTTGTTGTTGTTGTTGTTGTTTTTGTGGTTGTGATGGTGGGGTTGTTGTACTATTGTTGGTTACTATATTACAGCTATATATACAAATAATTATAAATAAATAAATAAATAAATAAATAAATAAATAAATAAATAAATAAATAATATATATTTATTTATTTAATTTATTTAATTTATTTTATTAGGAATGTTTATTAAGAAGTTCTTTTGAGGAAATATTGGAGATATTAAAGAAAGGACCTCCTTTATTATCACCAAATAAATTAAGAAATAAAATAATAAATATAAATATAAATAATAATATTATTATACAATTAGAGGAACAATATAATAATATATATAATAATCATCTATTATTTATTCATAATAATAATAATAATAATAATAATTATATTAATAATAATATTAATATTAATAATTATATTAATAATAATTATAATTATAATTCTCTTCTTAGTAATAATATTCAAGAAAAAGAAGATGATGATTCTTCTTAATTCTTCTTTCTTTTCTTTTTTTTTTGTCTTTTTACCTATTTATTATTTATTATTTATTATTTATTATTTTTATAGACTTATTAGGTATAATTAGCTATTTGCTGTTGTTGCTGTTGCTTTTTTTGTTGCTGCTGGTGTCCTGCTGCTTGTCTTAGTTCATTTGACCATATAAAAGGGTTTAGGGTTTAGGGTTTAGGGTTTAGGGTTTACAGTTGTTGCGTTGATTGACAACTAGTAAGAGGTAGAGGCATCGATATCCAATAGTAGCATCTATGGCTAGCTAGTAGTCAGCTTGTTAGCTAGCTAGCTGGCTAGCTAGCTAGCTAGCTAGCTAGTAGTAATTAGCGGTGTGGCTAGCTTTGTATCTTTCTCTCTGCTTCTATTGGTTAGCTAGCTACGGCTAGCTATGCTAACCACTGAGTCCGCAGCAGCAGCAGCTGTGAATGCTGCAACACTCTGCTGCTGCTGCATGCGTGCATGCGTGCATGCATGCACACATGCATACATGCGCGAGTGCTCCATGTTAATCAGTAGACAATAACACTTACCTCCTACAGATGCAGCAGCAACTGCTGCAGCAACTGCTGCAGCAACTGCAGCAGCAGCAGCAGCAGCACGCATTAAGTTTATGTGTCCTATTTATTATCCGTATATAGGATGATACACTCTATCGATTATAGTGCTATTCCTCTTCTTCTTTATGAACAAAAGAAAAGAAAAAAAACATTAATAAATAAGAAGAATAAATAAATAATTAATTTTCCCTTTAGTGTATGTTGAGCTCTACAGTAGATTATGTTGTATACTAAAGGAAGAAACACTTGTATATATAATATAAATAAATATATATGTATATGTATAAATGTTCAATAAAAAAAAAAAAAAAGGAAAAGGCATTTAATATTATAATATAACATTAATATTTTATTTTATAATTCATTATAATTAATTAATAAAAAGAATATCTTATTTAAATAAGAAAATAATGATGAATATAATTCATCTTTTTCTGGTGTATCGACAGCTCGTTGTATACTTTTTATGAATAAAGGTATAAAATAGGGGTAATTTATGTCTAAAAAAAGGGAATCTTTATGATATTTATTGCTAATTAATTAAATAATTATATTTATAAATATATTTTATAAAAAAAAAGACTTTTTATGACTACATCACCTTCGCTTTTGTGTTATTCAATACTTTTTTCTTCCTTCCTTATAATGAAGAAAGAAGATCGCTGATCTTTTCCGGTGTATATTCACCTCTTTCTTCTTTGCATTTCTTCTTTCTTTTAATTCCTTTCTTTAATTTTCTTCTTTTTTCCCCTTTTTCATGATATAATTCCTCAGCTTTCCCCTCTACAAAGCAATTTATTTCATCACGCGTCAAGCGGACCAGGCGCAGCAACAGCAGCAACACCAGCAGCAGCAGCAGGAGCAGCAACAGCAGCAGCTCCTCTGCTGCCTGATCTATGCATCTTCTCCTTCTCCTATAACATCGTCTTTTCCTCATCTTTAAAGTTTTATTAAAAAGTGAGTCATTTCCTTTATCTCTCCTCCATTCAACGCAGCAACAGCAGCAGGAGCTGCTGCAGCAATAGCAGCAGCAGCTGCAACAACAGCAGCAGCAGCACAACGCTGGCACACACAGCAGCAACTTATTACCCTTCTTATATTCATCTTTATTTTGTCTAGTAAGACATAATGGCATAAAAACCAACACATTTCATAAACGCATGCAACAGCAGCAGCAGCAGCAGCAGCTGCTGCTGCTGCTGCTCTTTTAGCTGGGACAGTCAGTATCGATACAGTAGAAACAATCATTGCTGTCGTCCTATATAGTTGCTGCATTCTGCTGCTGCTGTTTTGTTGTTGCTGCTGCTGTTGTTTTTTTGCTGTTTTTTGCTGCTGCTGCTGCTGGTGCGGCTGCTGTTTTCATACTGCTGCTGCGGCTGCTGTTTTGACACTGGTCATGCTGCTGTACTTGTTGCTGCTGCTGCTGTTGCTGCTGCAGTTTCCTCCCTTTCCTATCCCATTCTTCCCGCCACGCATGCAGCAGCAACAGCAGCAGCAGCAGCAGCAGGACCAAATTGTTTCCTCATAAAGATGCCGTCACAGCAGCACCGCAAGCGGCGGCTGCTGCTGCCGGCAGCAGCAACAACTTTGCTGCTGCTGCTGATCTTATCAGTTGCAACAGAGGCCCGTCGTTCTGCTCATCAGCAGCTTCCCTTGCAGCCATCAGAACAGCAGCAACAAGAACAGCAGCAACAGCAGCAGCAGCAGCAGCAGCAGCAGCAGCAGCGAGCCTTCAATGTACCCGTGCCTGCTACTGAATCCTTTGAGGAAGCAAAAGCAATGGCTGTTGCATTAACAGGATCTTCTTTCCTTCAATTAGATAATCAGCAGCAGCAGCAGCAGCAGCAGATGGTGCTGCAGCCGCTGCAGCAGCACCAGCTACAGTTGCCAGTGCAGCAGCAAGTTCCTGTGCAACAGGCACAACCAGATCTTATGCAGATGCAACAGCAGGTACTGCAGCAGCAGCAGCAGCAGCCCTTGATGCTGCAGCAGCAGCAGCAACCCCTGATGCTGCAGCAGCAGCAGCAAGGAGGGATTGATGCAAATTTAGCTTTATTACAGGCACAGAAGGCAGCAATTGATTTGCAGCTAGCATCTGAATCAGCAGCAGCAGCAGCTGCTGCTGCTGTTGCTGCAGCAGCAGGATCTCCATATCCAGCAGCAGCAGCAACAACAGAAAGTATTCCTGCTGCAGGTGTTGACGGTTTGCTGCTGTTGCAGCAGCAAGCACAGCAGCAGGATCAGCAGAATCAGAATTTACAGCTGCAACTGCAGCAACAGCAGCAGCTACAGCAGCAGCTACAGCAGCAGCAGCTGCTGCAGCAGCAGCAGCACGATGAGCCCCCTCCTGCTGCTATAGGTCCTCTATCTGTACCTATTAATTCTCCCCCTATGCCACCGCAGCAGCAGCAGCAGCGAACAATTCCTGCTGTTATTCTATCATCATTAAAGGGAGAGAATAATAATAATAATAATAATAATTTAGATAAAAGAATAAAAGAACTGCAGCAGGACCTGCAGCTGCTGCAGCAGATGCAGGAGCAGCAGCAACAGCAGCAACAGCAACAGGAAAAGCTGCAAAAACAACTCGAGGAACTGCAGCAGCAAAAAGATCAGCAGCAAAAAGAGCAGCAGCAAAAAGAGCAGCAGCAAAAGGAAGAAGGAAAACAAACAGACACACAAAACCAGCAGCAGCAGCAGCAGCAGCCAGATCAACAGCAACAGCTACCGCCGCCGCCGCCGCAGCAGCAGCAGCAGCAGCAGCAGCAGTCCGGTGAAGAGTGCCAGGTCAACGTGTCTGCATGCGGCGATAATGGTAAGTAGTGCTGCTGCTGCTGCTGCTGCTATTGCTGCAGTTGCTGCTGCTGCTGCTGCTGTTGGTGCTGTTGCTTCTGCTGCTGCTGCTGATGTTGTTGTTTGTATTGCTGTTGGTTTTTCTATTCTTACTGCTGCTGTTGCTGCTGTTGCTGCTGTTGCTGCTTTTGTTTTTGTATTGTTTTTGCTGCTAGTGCTGCTGCTGTTGCATGTGTTTGTTTATATTATCTGTGTCTTATTATTATTTGCTGCAGCAGCAGCAGCAGCAGCAGCAAATGAATACGTCAAGACTATACAAGGTTGCAGCTGCAAGGATGCTGTTGCAGCATTAGTCTGCGCTGCTTGGCTTAATAGCAGCAGCAGCAGCAGCAGCAGCAGCAGCAAGGCTGTTTCTTTCGATGAATCAACGGTGAGCTCCTGCTGCTAACGCTGCTGCTGCTGCTGCTGCTGCATTGGCTGCTGCTGATGCTGCTGCTGCTGACAGTATAGGTGTTGTTCCTTTTGTTGCTGCTCCTCTGCATTTGCTGCTGCTAGTGCTGCAGCTGCAGCGGCTGCTGCATTTGTTGCTGCATTTGCTGCTGCAGTTTATTAACAAGTAAATAATTAAATATTTATTTATTTATTTATTTATTTATTTATTTATTTATTTATTTATTTATTTATTTATTTATTTATTTTGTCTGCAGTCAACAGTAACACTTAAATTAAAGGGCGATGCA